AGAGAGAGAGCTCCAGTCGAAATAAAGAGAGAGGGAGAGAAAATGACCTAAAAGACGTTAAGCTAAAACTAAAGCCTTCGCCGCACAGCCCAAACTGTCGTCTGGAGAAGCATTGAACACCAAAAAGTGACTTGAAAATAAGAAAAATGAGCAAGGTCTACTTACATAGTGCTTGTCCATTGCCAGGTAGGTTTATACTTTCGAGCATCTTCCTGTACGACAGCAGTTCACTCTCAATCTTCTCAATGCGCTGCTGCAGTTTGTCGTTCTCCAGTGTTCGATTGTGCAGTCGCAGCTGAAGCGACCGATTTTCATTCTCAATCTGGCTCAGCTGATGGTGATGATGAGGGTGAGGGTGGGGATGGAGATGGCCTTCCTTAATGGTCGCACTGATTGAGCTTTTCAGCACTGAATTGGCCACTGAAGAGGTGTACACCTGCGAAGCGGTGCTGTACGGGCTGCAAGCCATCATTCTCTGGGATTAGTAGTTGTAGGGCGCACTGTGCCACTAGACGCAATGATGGTGGAGTTCTTGACCCAGGCTTGAAACTGTTTGCACGGCCACGTCATAGTCAGCAAACTAAAGAAATTGTCGGTGCATTGGAGTTTTGGAGAGAGAGAGAGAGAGAGAGAGAGAGAGAGAGAGAGCGATAAAGAGAGAGAAAAGAGAGAGACAATCCAATGTACTACTAAAGGCAAAGAGAGAGCAGGAGAGAGAGCAGGAGAGAGAAACGAGGAACTTGCTCCCTCAGCAACACATTGTCGCGCCATACTTTTGAATTTCCTAATACTCCAATGCAGACATGCGCCGGGCAATGCAACTTCAAAGCAGTTTATTTTTTATTTATTAAATCACTGGCGAATCGTACAGAACAGGTGAGGAAGACAGTGAGGCTCATCATTACTACTTAGGAGTGCTTCTGGCTGATCGCAATTGCCACTGTTTTAGTCTCCAGGTACTCGTGAAGGCCGTCTTCACCATTTTCGCGTCCAAAGCCAGACTGTTTAAACCCACCAAACGGAAGTTGAGAGGTAAGAGCTGGAAAAAAGTCCAGTTAGTACAGTAGCTTTCATTTAATGAAGCTTACCTAAGTAAGTGTTCACCCACACCGAGCCAGCTTGGCTGAGCTGGGAAAACTGAATTGCCTTCTCTAGATCCTTGGTAAAGATACCCGAAGCCAGACCATACGGATTGTTGTTGCCTCGATCTATGGCCTCTTCAAAGGTTTTGAACTTGAGAATCGACTGAACTGGGCCGAAAATCTCCTCCTTGGCAATGGTCATGTCGTCGGTGACATTGGAGAAAACCGTGGGTTTCACAAAGTAGCCCACATCGGCGGCCTTCTCTCCGCCAGCCTCCAGCTTGGCACCTTCCTCTACGCCCTTGCCAATTAGCCCCAGAGTCTTCTTGAACTGTTTTAAATCTATTTGAGGGCCCATCTGAATTTCCTCACTGAAAGGGTCGCCCACTTTACGACTGGCAGCCAGCTGGGCGGACTTTTGCACGAAAGCGTCGTAGATTTTCTCCTGAACAAAAACTCGAGACGAGGCGCAGCAGCATTGGCCAGTGTTGAAGAAGATGCCTTCATGGGCGTACTTTACTGCCAAATCAAGATCGGCGTCGTCCTGCGAAACAAATGCGATAATGTGTTAGCTTGCATATCATCCATCAATTGATTACGAGCAGTATCGCTCACCAGAACGACGAGAGGAGACTTTCCACCGCACTCCAGTGTGACTCGCTTTCCATTGGAGCGGCCTGCCTCGCTTTGAATGAGCTTTCCCACTGCCGTCGATCCGGTGAAGGCGATCTTGTCAATGTCCATGTGGGCGGCAATGGCGGCGCCTGCGTTGGAGCCAAATCCGGGCAATACGTTGAGTACTCCATCGGGAAATCCCGCCTCTTTGGATAGTCCGGCCACGTGAAGGGCAGTCAGCGGGGTCAGCTCAGAAGGCTTAATCACCACAGTGTTTCCAGTCGTGAGCGCTGGTCCAATCTTCCAAGAGAACCTGTAAACGACACTTTGTATAAATTTGGAACGTTGTACCGGTTACAGGTACGTGAATTAAAGGTACTCGCATGTATAAAGGGAAGTTCCAAGGTATTATCTAAAAAATAAAATCATTTTAATTAAAACGTTCCAAACACACCCACTATTTAATACCTGACCGCAAACGCCGACCGGCTCAGAGCGGGTAA